TAATGTGTTTTAGGGTAAGCAGTGTGGTGCAGTGGAAGACTTCCAGAGCAGACAGGCTGGTTCAAAACTCAGTTCCCTCAATAGCTTGTGACTTGGATAAGTACTTAACCTTTCTGAGGCTTAGTCCTCATCTACAAAATAGAGTTAATGACACCTATTTCACAGGACTGTCATCACGCATGAGGTTAGCTCATGTGTGGTAGGGAAGAGTGTCGCTCTTTGGGCACTGACGACATGGGCGCTGCTGTCAGGCCTGGATCGGGGGATGGAGGATGGTGCGTTCATTGCAGGCCACCGGGTGTGTAACCCTGGCCTAAGCGCATTCCGTGCCATGCATTGCCCGCAGCTCAAGCCTGAGTGACCCCTCTGCCTGCATGTCGACACTCTAGCCTATCTCTGTGTTCCATGCTTTCCTGGTGTCCTAACGCATGACTGGGCCCCGACTGGTGTCTTTAGAGCGAACCAGAGGTGAAGGACCAAAGACTAATCGCAGGTCCTTCCTGTGCACGCTCGACTAGGAACGAGTCTCTTCGCAGTGTCTCGAGATGGCATTACTCAAGCAGTTGTCGTTGTCGGCTCACGATTCAAGGACTGCATCGTGACTAACATCATCATGGTAAACCCTGAGACCTCGTTGTTGTGTTATGCACATTAGCACCGCAATGGCACTCAATGTGTCACTCGGCCACACGTGCCGCATCTTGGTTCTAGGAATCTTAAATGTTACAGGAGTTGTATTTCTTACCCTTTTCCTAGAAGAGGAGGATTCTATGACTTCTCGAATAAGTAGATTAGAAAAAAACTGATTGCAGTGAGCTTTTAGAGTAATACCTTCAGTAAATGCATGGAATATTTTATTAATGGCCAATGAATCTTGAAAACTCTTGGCCCGATTCCAGTCACGAATACTTTGCGACATAGGCTCAGTGGAAGCCAAATGCAGAAGTTAGAAGGTGAGGCAAGGGGTACTGTCTCCTTTAACCATTAGATTTGGAAGATGATTACTTATGTTTCTGTGACTCCTATCATCATCATCATCGTTCGTCGCCATCATCACTGGCAAACACTTTCCTCGTATTTTTTTTTTTTTAATGGTCGGGGGATTCCAGAGCAATAATTAAATTTCTTTGAAGCTGTTCTCAGAGAAAGAGTCAGAGACACGTGGGTCACATTAAAAGCTGCTCCTCTCCTTAAAAAGGGCCATACCTTGGATGTAGGTTTAAGTGTGGTATGTGGTTCCCTCGAATCATTCACAAGTTACGCTGAGTGTGTCAATTCAACCCCATTAATTTGACGCACCCCTGTACTGAAACTACTAAATATAAGGAGAACTGTAGGATCGATCACACCTCTTGTTTAGTAGTGATAATAACAGGGACGATAATAACTCCAGTCGACATAAATTTGCTCCCACATCAAAGAAGCAGATCCTGCTAAGTGTATTTGTATAATGCGGTAATTTATGCAAAAAAGCAGCTTGCAGTTGATGGAAATGTATGGCGCCCACTAATTTTAGTATGTCACCGAGTGAGAACTGTGTACTCAAAGCTAGAATCGAAAAAACTACTTCTACAGACCTGAGCAGATATACCTCTTCGAAATAACGTTGATTAGTAATTGGCTGCTTATAGAACTCATAGGGTATGAGTTCTGGTGTCCAGTATATGACATTGTTAGGTTAATTTATATAATAGCTATTTGTGGTATCAGTCAGTCTAGGGCCCACATAACAAGTTATTTTTCAGGAATTCTCTTTGGTTTATGGAAATAACGTTGATTAGCAATTGGCTGCTTATAGAACTCATAGGGTATGAGTTCTGGTGTCCAGTATATGACATTGTTAGGTTAATTTATATAACAGCTATTTGTGGTGTCAGTCAGTCTAGGGCCCAAATAACAAGTGGCTTCAAATGATTACTTTGCTAATGGATGAGTGGGGGAGGTGACTGCTGTCACATTGCAGTGCCTCTCTGAGCCTGATAATTTAAAGGGGGCTTGCATTCCTTAGATAAAAAGTTTTTCTCTCTCAGCCCTGTGGAATCCTGGTGTTAGTCACGTTTTACAGATGGACAAGAGCACTTAAGTGACAGACCCAGGCACCTTCATATTGTTTATCACCTTCTATTCCATCACACCCCCCTCCACTATTATATTAATAGCTGTTGGGCAATTTGCAAATGTAATAAGGAAAACATTCTTGAATTAAGTCTTAATGCAAAAATTCCAGCATGAGAAGACTTCTTGAAAGGAGTGTTCTAAGGTGGGGAAGGAGGAGGATATTTTTATAAGGCTTTAGCAGGAGAAGTCAGTCAAGTATTTCATCAGAAGAGGAAAAGGCTAGAGAGTTAAGCAGATGGAACAAAAAGCAGAAACTGATTTAGGAAAAAAAAAACCTCTCACTAGAGAAAGTGATATTAGGTTCCTGTTGGGAAGGATCTGATGCCAGCTAATTTCTCTGTTGCTTTCTTGATAAAACAGGAGGATTGAGAATTTGATGAAAAAACAATCCTTTTAAAGACCCCAGGAAATGGATTTGTTTCAATATGCTGTTAATATAAAAAGAGATTATTCTTGTGTTATTGTACCTTAATGCAGTAGCATTATAAAGGAATACAGAAGCATCTGCTTTTTAACTAAAGTTAATTTTATTGAGGGTATACATATACCTTCTTGTATTTGAATTCCTGTTCCTTCCATTTTGATTTCCCACTTTAGACAAATAAGAGGGCTTATCAAAAGTAGAAAAAGTTTGTGTCCATTGAAATCCATTCCTTCTTAATTAGCAAGGATAAAGAGTAGCACAGAGCTATTTGTCTTGAGCTGCCTTAGAGCTGGACTTACCGTTCTTCAGGGAGAAAACTTTCATATGAAACTTTTGGATTCTTAGGGAGTATTACCTGTGGGCTGTCAGCCTCTCCCAGAATGCAATAGTTAGATAAAGGCAAGAAGCTGTACCTAGTATTGCAGACCTAGTGGGGCATGAAATAATTTTAAAATAAAATAGAAGTAAAATATGATTTTTCCCCTGAATGTTAAGATCCTAGGAACAGAAAGCTGGAGAGTTATTTAGCTGCATGGAACCCTGAAGCAACTTGTGAGAATTGCTTTAGGGAATGATTCATTGAACTAAAACATTCCTGATCTACAAATGAAACTCTATTGTGTTTAAATTACTTTAAATGATACTTAATTTAAATCAAATCCACCCTAAATGGAAGAAGTATAATTCCATGTAGGTCTTATTTAAATTAGTTTTTCAGTCATAGCTTTTAGTGACAAGGACTTCCAACTATGTAGTATCATATGCCCCTGATTAGAAATTAAGATCATACCATCAAATGTTATTTTCATTTTTTAACTTTCAAACATATTTCTTTGAAGTCCGTCTTACTTTACTATTTAGTTCCCAAATAAGATTTTGATTTTTCACGTTGAATAGTTAAATCTATAATAATTAGACAAAAACGTTACTCTATATCTTTAATCTCAAAAATAGTAAATGAAAGTGTTCCTGAAAGCTCAGCACTTATCCTCGAGGCTGCATGAGAAGAAGGAGAACAAGTGGTTTGAGGAAAAGGAAAGAGAAGTTTATTAATTTGCTGGCAAATGAGGAGGTTGGCAGACTCCTATATTAAAGTACCAACATCCTGCCTCTGAGCAGGAATACAGAGCTTTTAAAGGGGAGGTTTTCGGCTTCAGGCTATTGCTGTTTAACTAGAGTTGATGGTTTTGACTCATCCCATCTTCAGCTAAGACAATCTCATGACCTCCATGACTTCTACCCAGACAGTGCCCTTGAGCCAGCTCCTGAGGTACAAAGAACAAGGACATCCCCCTGCCTCTCCAACCACTGGCCTTGGGCAGGAATGCAGGTTTTTAATTCCCAAAAGGAGTGGGGGAGGTTTTAGAGAGAAAACATTTTTACCCTTTTTCAGGCCATTCCCATGTTACAAAAGTGTGCATCTCCATAAATATGTCTGAGTTTCACAAATGTTGCATTTCATACTAACCATCCAAAGTTACCAAATACAGTACTGTCATTTTCTTTAGTTCTAATCAAGGCAAAAAAAAAAAAAAAATCCCAACAAATAACCAACCTTTAAAATGAAAATGTAATTTACAAATACATAAATTGTTATCATTGTTATCTGATATGAACTTTATCTTATATTACCTGTGGCTATTATTTCACCAAAGTTTGGTCTCAGAGGGTCTTATATTTTATGTAGAAATTATACATGTGAACTAAAATAAGATCTTAAGCTCCCCCCAGCTGACTGAATGGACCCCCTCTTAGCCAAGGGGACACGAGAAATACCCTAGAGCTGAGTTGCTGGCTATGAAAAGGGAGGTCAGACACGCCTCATCTGCCCCACTCCCTTCTGGTACACATCCTTTGTAACTCATTGACAGGCCTAAGGCTATGCAAGACAAACCTACAGGTCCTCAATTTACATAACAAATCAGTTGAGTCTGGTGGCCTGTTTCTGATTAACAGACTTCCTTATCTTAACTTAAAAAATTCCTGACCTTTAGACAAAGCTTAATTTCTTTAACCAATTACAAATCAAAGAGTCTTTAAAACCCACCTATAACCTGTAACCACCCCATTTGAGATGTCCCACCTTTTCAGGCCAGACCAATGTACACCTTCCATATATTGATTTACGATTTTACGTGTAACCCTTGTTTCCCTGAAATGTATAAAATAAAACTGTAACCCAACCGCATTGAGTCTACTTGCTCAAGGCTTCTTGGTGTGACTCCAGGCCATGGTCCTCAAATTTAGCTCAGAATAAACCTCTTCAAGTTCTTTTGCAGAGTTTGGCTTTTTTTCCACTGATATATAAAAACCAAACTGAAATTCTTCCAGAAAATACTTCAAGATAATGTGTTGTTAACATTCCTAATTATCTGCTTATAGTTAAAGAGATTAAATAAAGTATAGGTTCATTATAATATCAATAGTTATAAATTAAAAGGGACTTTTCTTTTATTAGGGTGTTTACTATGTCTTTGGCTGATACAACAAAAACAAATATAGATGAACATTTCCCCAGTGTGGCATTAGAAAACAACAGGAAGTCTACAGAATGCAAGAGAAGCCCAGGCACAGGTGATTTTTCAAGGAAGAGTAATGCTTCTGATAAGAGTGTTGATTATAGCAGATCTCAGTGCTCCTGCAGAAGTTTAAGTTCTCACTATGATTATTCAGAAGACTTTCTCTCGGATTATTCAGAAACTGCCATTAATAGAAATTATTTAGAGCAGCCTGTGGTAAGAAAAAAGGAGGAGGAGAAGAAAAAGCATAATGTTTCTAAAATCTCCCAAGCTGAAGGTAAGAAGCAAAATTCCCCAACCAAGACTGAATTTCTGGTTATAGTGACATTATTTTTTGATACTCTAGTATTTGAAGTGGTACATATTCATTTTATTATTTTTCCACATTGTACATATTATAGGTGAACTTTTATAGAAGGAATTAGGAGATAGAGAAATTAAAATAATTACAAAATAACAGAGAGGCTTACAATGTAGAGCCTAGTCCTTGCACAGCTTACCCTGCTGGAGCCTACTAGTGAGGCCAGTTCCGTTTTTAGTTAACAGGTGGCCTTGTTACAGAGTACCACAGTGCTTGGATTTTACTGGCTTCTTGCCTTCCATCTCAGCTGAAGAATCAAAGTTTGAATCGCCAATGAGATGTAAATACCTGTCTCAACACCCCAAGAGGATGGTCTCCAAGTCTGGTGAGGCATATTGGCAAAAACAATCTTTTGAAACAGAGAGGGTTCATAAGGCTGTTAATAATGTCATTTCCTTGTGGATTTTAAAAGTACCAATTCCATCAAGTCCTGTCTAAATTAGAATTAGCTTGTGATATCTCTGATTTTCTTTCTCCTTGCCCAAACTATAATTACTTCCTCTCATGTTAGGCAACCTTGAGCTTATAGTACTTCTTATATCAAAATAGCTGGAACTCTTTTCTACTTGACCATCAGAGCACCCTCAAGTCAAAAGGTGGAAAATAATTCAGAGCCTGCTATTCGTGGGGACCACCTATCACTGTTATGCTTACCTAGCGTCTTTCACCCCAGCCTGCTCTTACCAGGGGTGTCCAGAACCTTCTGTGCCACTTCCGGGACATCTAGAGTCTTCATTTCCCCTTTCTCCTAGCTGCAGGCAGGAATTCTTCATCTAAGACACATGTCTGTGAACTCCAGGAAATTTTTGGTGTCTGTGTGTGTCCATAAACATTTCTAGGGAGAAGGGCCCATAGCTTTCAGCAGATCCTCAAAAGGTAAAAAGTCCCTTTTCTAAAGAGGTTGGGAATCCCACACCCACTGCCCTGGCAAGGCCCAGGGCAGAAGGTGAGACGACCAGTTCCTTCTCTCATGATGAGACTGTTGGTGGCATTTGGAAGAGTTATCACAACAGAACATTGTGATTAGATCCTACAAATACACAATCCCTAATTCACATTTGAACTTTACAAATCTCTGAAAACTTAACATTTTTCACATCTTTGGTACCAAAATTGATTTGGCAGCAAAAACTGATATGAACTGACATGAGACTGATATTTATTTTACCCAGTATAAAGTCATATATTTCCCTACTAGGAGAAATATGGAAAATACCAGATATGCACCCACCTAAAAAATAAAACCCCCTACATTCTGAAATAGTCTGGCTCTAAGAGCTTATATAACGGACACTACATTTTATGTTGATTCCAAGCTTTTATGGGACAGTGTGAGAAGGCAGTTAGCTTTTATAAAATTATTTCCACAAAAACAAATTGCATTTTGAATTCTAAGTGCCTCATAATTTAGCTTTTTAAAATTGATCCCTCATTTATTTATTCTACAAATAAATTTCTTGAGCCGTATAAACAGGATACCAGTTCATAAAGTGGGAGCAGCCTTCAGAGGAAACTAGAATCATAAATTCCATTATCTGAAAGAGTGAAAGGTTTGCTTTTACCTAGGTGTTCTTTTGTGTATTCTGAAATTATTTTTAATTAATCTTGCATGCATCTTTAACTCAAATTCTATATGTCCCTGAGGACCCATGCCCAGTGTATGATGAACATAAAACACTAATTGCAACATCAAGCTTTGTCACAGAACCATAAAGTGTTTCCTTGGTTTTTTTCTTTTATTCTTTTGTTCCCATACAGTTCATGTTTTGCAAGTGTTTTCCAAAGTAATTTAAGTTGTTCCACCCTAGGGTAATATAATTCTAACCCAAAGCAAAGAAGCTTAATATTTTAGCCAGTGCAAACCCCTTTTCAAGTGAATGTTCAGTTTCTGTTCATCTTTCTGATATATTAAAAGTAGATCTCTAACCCTCAGGGATAGAAACACTGGATTAGGAACCACGAATACAGACTCAGAATTCACTAAAGAATAGTACATCAGAGATTATTTTTAAATTCCATCTTAGAAAATTGATGAAAGCAAATTTTATGTCAGAAAAACATTTCACAGAGAAAAATTACAAGGATGAAATGAGAACTTCAATTTGATAGGATTTTTGCTTTGGTTAAACATTTACTTACATCATCGTAAATAGCAAGCAAATATTTCTACAATCTGCTTTTTAAAAATTGATTATTTCCTCCTTTTGTAGAAAATGTACTTTCAGAACTCTTTCAATTATATACCCTAATAGTTAGAAAATTGTTTCTCTTCTGGCCACTTGATTTTGGACAAGGAAAAATTGTTTCCTTGATATATTTTCTTTGTCAATATGTTAGGTAGATAGCGAGGGATTCTGGGTCTCCTAAGGACAAAAGTGCGTGCTGGTGCAGTTCACCCTGCCCCACAAATGGGCCTTCAGAGAGGCTCATGAGAGATCCACATGCGCAGTAAGACTCAGGTCACATAACTCCCAACTGTTCAATAAAAGTAGTTCCGTGGTGATGTCTGAGCCATGAGGGAGGTCCCAATCCAGACACTATGAAACGAGACTGAGACCATAACCAAGGCCAATGTTTTTGGCCTCTTGCTACAACAATGGATCCGGTCATCATCTGTGGTGTATATATCTTGCTCTGTAGACATATATCTTTCTCTTGCTTTATAATCCTATCTTTCTCTCCTCAATAAACCTCTTTTTCATGCTTGCCTTACTTTGGCGTGTCTGGTCATTCTTCAGCCACCAAAAACCAACATTTCAGACCCCGAAACCCGGCATATTTGGTGCCATGACTCGGATACCAAAACGTGTGCTAGTCATTCAAAATATTGGTATATGACAAAAGAAGTTATTTTACTGCATTCAAATGCTTGGGACACCTTTTGCCCTGTTGTCGTTGGCCAGGTATAGGTGGGAGTCCTAAGGCAGTGTTGAAGAGACACCTCCTCTAACAGATTAACAGCAGAAACTAGGGAGAGCAGAAAGGTTCCTGTGAACCTCTTCTTTCCCCAGTCCTTGGAGGAAGTGGATCCATCTGTTTTAAGGTGAAATACAGGGTAAACCCAGAAGAGAGAGAGAACTTGGCAGAGGGCAGAGCCAGCACAAGCACATGGGGAACAAGGCTCAGAAGAAGCAGCGCTGGAGTGAGGTGTGGAGGAGCACAGGAACGAATGGGACGGTGAGACCTCAGAGACAATGACAGGAGAGGGAGCCGGGATGAGGCCAGGGAGGAGAGGAGGTGGAAACAGCACGAGCGACAGCATGAGGAGGACAAGAGAGCTTTTGAAATAAGGGGTTGGGAGGGGTGAACGTGGGGAAAGAGGGCCTAGGAAGGAAGACGGGCTGGAGCACGTGAGCCTGCAGGGGCAGTAGTGAGCACGGCGACGTTTTTTTTAGGACTGACTGTTCGAACATCGTGTGTCATTATAAGCAATGTGGAGTATGCCCTTTTGTCTAACTGTGGGCTCAAATGTATATGTTTTTGGTGAATTGAGTTAATTTGAGTGAGTGTTTTAGCTCAGTGGTTTGAAAATCAGGTATCCTAAGAGTGGTTTAGTCATTTAGCTAAATCTGCCTTATTGTATGAAATGGGATAGAAAACATAAATTATACTTATTATGTGTAGGTTAGGATAATGAGATATAAAGTCATTAAGGATTAAACCCTATTTCAATTTTCTATCACCTATATAGTTATACAAGTATGCATGACATATATAGTATGAATTTGTTGTATACCACCTAAATGCAAGTGCTATATTTACCTTTCTGAAGCATACAAACCTGGCTTATTCTCTCCCACCCGCCCACCAGGGTAGACAAGAAATTCAGTCTCAGACACACTTGGGGAATGGAGGGAGTGTGGGTGGATGGGGAAGCATACATACACAGACAAGAGTGTTTGGGAAAGGCCTCTGGTCCTTCATTTTCATCTCTCATATGCTTCTTAGCCAAGCCCATGTGATCTGTAGAAGGCCAGCCCCACCCTGTTCAAAGCATCCATGCCCTCTGTACACTTCTTGACTTCTGGGGCCTCGGCCAGAGCTCCCATGGCTATGGGGGTTAGTTCCTGGACACCCTCTCGCATCACTTGAGTATGGCAGAGAAGGGGCACATACGCCTGCACTGCCCGTGGAACCCATCACCCATCCTTCTAGTCTCAGTGCAATCCCTCTCTCCTCCAGGGCCAGACCCCCCAAGGGCTGGAAGGCATTACAAGTCGGGAGTCAAGTGCAGGTGTGCTTGCCATGGCACAGAACATGTCAGACAGGGTCGCCCTTGTTTTAAACCAGTCTGGTCCACACTGCCCTGGGTCAAGGGCTTCCCTAGCTGGCGCCCAAGCTATTAAAGTGTCCGGCCTCAACACAACCACAGATACCTCTTCACTGGCCTTCTAGTGGGTGTCCCAGGGCTGGCCTGCTCCACTTTCCATTTTTAATGTGCTTAAAAGCCTATTCTAAAATGCTCAAATACTTAGACATAGACCCTACTAAATTGTTGTTCCCAGTGGGAAAATAAATACCCTTGAAGGCATAGTTGCAAAGATAGTCCACCTCGGGCTGGGCACAGTGGCTCACGCCTATAATCCTAGCACTCTGGGAAGCCAAGGCGGGAGGATCGCTTTGGCTCAGGAGTTCAAAACCAGCCTGAGCAAGAGCAAGACTCCATCTCTACTAAAAAATAGAAAGAAATTAGCTGAACAACTAAAAATAAATGAAAAAAATAGCCAGGCATGGTGGTACATGCCTGTAATCCCAGCTACTTGGGAGGCTGAGGCAGAAGGATTGCTTGAGCCCAGGTGTTTGAGGTTGCTGTGAGCTAGGCTGACGCCACGGCACTCTAGCCCAGGCAACAGAGTGAGACTCTGTCTCAAAAATAAAAAAGTCCACCTGTTTTTGATGTGATGATGGTACTGTGATTATTATAAAATATATATAGTCTGTCATTCAAATGCTTTATCCCCAAAAAGCATGCTTCATTTCTATTGGCTCATTGCTTCTATCATAAGTATAATTGCCTTTCCTACCACCTAGACCAAACATATTAAGCACTGTCTCAGGTGATGTGCCCAAACTTGGGCCAATAGCTTAAGGTTAGGGCTCCAGTGATATTGACCACTAAGTGCCCTTCTCTCTCCAGAATATGGATCAGGCTTTTTAGATTTTAGAATCTAGTTTAATCTGTTTCTCAGAATATCAATATACTAACACATACACATGCACACATACACATATATATACAGATGCACACATACAGGTAGATCATACAAATGCACACACCTATGAGGCACTAGCACAAGCTCATAAACTTTGGGTTCTGTCTCATCACTTACTAGCATTGACAAGTGATATCCCCAAGCACCAGTTTCTTTATCTTTAAAATAGGATAATAGTACAGAGGTGTTACACATACATCTAACATACTCAAATTCAAGTATGTAAGCTCGGTGCTAAATGTAGTGTTTTTTAGATACTTTTTATTTAAAATAGACTCCTGAACACATACCAATTACTTCATTCAGTGTCCAGCCAAAGTAACAGTGAAAAAAATGGCTTTGTTGGATTTACTGAGAGATGGTATATACATACGTATTCTCTCTCTCTCCACAGTTTAATGGCTTAAGGGTCATTTCAAATAGATCTTCACAATGGGTTCTCACGTTGTACTCCACCTCATAACATATCGTTGAAGGATTATATCAGATAATCTATATAAAGCATTTAGTTCAATGCCTGACATATGACAAGCACTTAGTAAATGTTAGCTATTATCATGGCTTTTAGTATAGCTTTTATAATAGAAATCTAAGTACATGTTTTAGAGTCAAAGAAGACCTGGTTTTCAATCCATTCTGTGTCACTTTTTGGCTATGTTACCTTGGACAAATTACTTAAAATCTCCAGCTATAAAATAGACTACAACTGACCTTAAAGAATTGTATTGAATAAGATTTCTATAAAGTACCTAGCCTGAGACATGAGTATTCATTAAATGTTAGTTCTTTCCCCTTACAGTTTCACCTGTGTGTATGTATTTATGTGTGTGCATTGCTGGGGGGAGATTATGCATTTTTGCATATCTATATCTCTATATACATACATTACTAGTAATAAATTGGATTGTCTACTTACACAGGCCAGAAGGAAATCTTAATTGGAAAAAAGTACACCTCGAATGCCTCAGTTTTTAATTCTCAAATCAATATGATTACCCAAAGAAGAGATGCTACGGCTCATCGAATACTGTCAGCAAGGCTTCACAAGATTAAAGAACTAAGAAATCAATTAGCTGAAATACATCGTAAATCGGAAGCCATCATCATAGAAAACCAATTTCTGAAACAACTTCAGCATAGGCACTTGAAAGCTATAGGAAAATATGAGAATTCAAAAAATAATCTACCTCAAATTATGGTTAACCATCAGAATGAAGTAAAAAATTTAAGGCAACTACTTAGGAAATCCCAGGAAAAGGAAAGAACTGTATCTAGGAAACTTAGAGAGACTGACAACGAGTTACTGAAGACTAAAGATGCCTTGCAGGCTCTACAGAGACTTTCTGAAGACAAAAATCTTGCAGAAAGGGAAGAACTCACTCAAAGATTGTCTAATCTTACGACAAAAATGGAGGAAAATGACAAAAAAATACAGGTCTGTATTGCAGAGGCCATAGACAATTTAAGGTTCCAACATGAACACAGAGAGAGCACACCATAGTCCTGTTTGCCCCCGTAACAAAGCGTCACGCCGCGGGCTTGGCGTGCCAGCCTTCGTGATTGTGGTGACTGATGGAGGGCAGGAGGAAGGGAAAGGTTTGAGGGAAAACAAACAGCTCAGAACTGGAACTGCTCATCCTGCGGTAGTGAGCGGGGCTTCATTCTCGCTCCCTGCATTCATAATGAGCTAGGCTCATTATCTGGAAGTGACCATTCTGTAAGACAGCACAGCTAGCAGTGTCAGGGGAGTTTTTGTCCACGTGCTAAAAAGGTTGCCTCGTGTTGTGCAGAACCTCTCTTTGAAATCACCCCTCTCCTATAAGCTGCCTATTAAAAGGCCGCTTCCCTAAAAACCTACACAGGGTACCCATTCGGTCCCTTTTCTCGTATTCTCCCTCATCGGTTTGGCCAGTCATTGCCACATAGACATTTTTACTTATTATAGAAATAGGAATTTTCCCCAGATAATCCTCCAGGGAGTAGGCAAGGAAAGGGAACTAAATAATGGGAGAGATGAATGGATTCATATTCCCCAACAGCACATGGTTGTCAAAAGCCTGGAGATTACATTCTGAGGGATGAGTTGAGAGGAGGCACCAATAACAGATTGAGAATTCTCCTGCCTGTTTTACATTAGATAGTCTGGGTCTCTATGGACATAAACATAAGTGGAATTAATTTACTGCTTAATTCTTTAATACTTGGTGAGACACAAGTATTTTCTTTGAGCTTGAATTAAGTAAATATGAGGTTCATTTCATCCACGTTTTATCTCAGTTATTCCATTGGCAAATTCTTTATTTTCAAAGGGAATTTTCTCACAAAAAATTGATATGTGAGCTACAGAAAATAATGAGCAACCTCATTTTTCACTCTTGTATATACCAAAGTTATATTATTTAGCCTTTTAGGTAATATTACATTTAACTTAGCATATGTCTGTCATGCAAATGTATTTTTATCTCAAAGTATTTAAGTAGTTAATGTCTTTATATCTGTCGGGGGTGAAAAAAAACAAATTGAAGAACTAATTAACTATTTTCTTGGCTATGAGAAGCACTTACCAAGAATGGGAACTTTCTGTTTGGTTGTAGGGCGTTTGGTGAGGAAAAATGTTTTGTGGGCCAAAACACGTAGGTATTTTTTTAACATTAATATTTTAGGGGTGGGATTTTTGGTGATTATTTCATCCTTTTGGATTTTTATATTTTCTAATTCTCTTTAATGGTAACGCAGTATTGTTAAAATGGAGGGGACCCTCCTTTATCTAAAAAAAAAAAAAAAAAATGCCCTTTTGGTAAGCCTCTGTCAAAGTCCAGGTCAAACAGTTCTCCAGTAAAATAGTTCTCATTCTGGAAAGCTGGTGAATGTGTGTGGAGATGGACACTAAGTTCAGTCAGCTCTCCATGGGCTCATAGTCATCAGTACAGACAGACATTGTGATGTGAGCCCCGTCATAACTGTGGTTTCTGTTGTCTGGGAGCCACCCTCCGTGATGATCTGCACTGGTGCTGAGCAGCCCTGTGCAGAGGGAGCTGGAAGGTTGTTCAGGAGCACCTTACCCGGAGATGGCAGAATCGTTCATTTGGACAGAGTGCTTCGGTATGCCATTGATTACTGGTTTTCAGGATCTGTTCAGAATTCTTAAATCAAGTTATTCCAGAGTATGTAAAAAATAATAGGCTGAAACATATGATATTTATTCTCTAGATCTGGGATTTGGGGGCTTTCTTTTCTTTTGGTTATGCTTAGTTCTAATACATGTCCTTATGTATTAGGGTTCATGAACAAGCGGTTCACGAAAATTGTATTGAAAATTTGCAGTGCTCATAAATGTATTTAGTTCCATTGTAATTGAAGTTTTAATAATATCAAATTGGTTACAGAATAGTTGAAATATATACTATTTTCAGAGCTTGGAAAAACAACTGAGGTTGAACAGTAGAGCCTTTACTAGGCAGCTGGCTATTGAAAATCGGAAGATTGTAGGAGCTCAAACAGCTACCAAGACTCTGCAAGTGGAAGTAAAACGCCTCCAACAAAAACTTAAGGTATTTCTTTTAAACCAAAATGTAAGAATGGAATTCTGTGTCCCAAAATATAAGAGTTACTTATGCCTATTACATCTTTAAATTATTTACCTTTGTGAATATCCTTCTCAAATCAAGTTTCTTCCCTATAAACATATGAACAGATAAAGGATCTGCAAATATTAGTATTAGTTAATGGTTTGGTGAGTATGCATTATAATTAGAAAAATTAAAGCATGTTCTATTCACTAAGAAGACTTGTTATTTTTATTTTCTCACATGAAGTAATATTTCATTTTGTTAACATTGTAATGTAACTCAAAATTAGTGTTTAAATTTAAAAATTAATTTTATATTTAGGGTAAATTTTAATGACCCATAAATTTATTGTAACATCTCAACTGCAAATATGTTTGAAAGACTGTCTTTTAAAAGTGTGTATACTGCTTTTTTTTAAACTATCAGACTTTTTGCTATCTTTCTGCCTTCAAGATTGCTAAAATATCCAACAGTTTACATAAAATGCTTAAGAAATAAGCTGTTTCAAGCCTCAACTAATAAATCTTAAGCTTGATTTTTAAAGACCAGAATCTTTAACTTTTTTATGATAAGTAGGGAATTTAGATTTCCCAGGAGCTTTTAGATCACAGAGGCAGGGGAAGAACACTGGGGAGGGTTGAATGTAGATTTGCCCTTTGTGGGGCAGAGAAAAGACTTCTTCTGTTCCTTTTCTCTCTGGATTTTCAGGAAACTTAAGAAAGATGTTTTCTTCAGAAAGAGGAATATGCCCATTTTCTGGCATATTCAAAAAGAATGTGCCAGAAAAATAGGCATGGCTATAGCAACCAGCTTAGTAATCTAACAAAAGAGACATCAAGATCCACTGGCCAAGGCAAACATACACACAAATATCAGAGGATATGAAAATGAATTTTGTGCATCCTTATGCAGACATATGAATATGAAGAGCATATAGCCATTAAAAACCCATTTTTACAGGAGAAATGCTTAATACTTAATGAAATGCTTAACAAAAAGAAAGATACAAAATTCTATGTACAGTTAAGATCCAAATGTATTTTTAAAAAGAAAAGTAAATGTACCTCCACACAATGAATTTCTATGCACCTGTAAAAAAGAATGAGGAATCTTGATATACTGCTATGGATTAATCTCCAGAATATGTGGGTAAGTGAAAAAAGGCAGACAAAGGAAAATGTGTAGTATCCTACCATTTAAGAAAAGGGAAGTAATACAGATATATCCACATATTTGCCTACAATTAAAAAAGAAAAGCAATAATAGGATAACAACCAAGGTAGGGGAACAGAATAGAGCAGAAGGGTAGTTATAGAACCTAGATTTCTTGAATACCTTTTCGGTAGATTTGACTTTGGAACCACGTAAATATTTTGCATAATTATGAAGCAGGATTAAATGTTTAAAAAAGTTATCCACAAATATCTAAAGAAAAATGAAAGCAGTGAACCCAACTGTGAACAGTGAGCCCTCCATAACCGTGTGCTCTTCATCCTGCGAATACTGTATTTTCAATCTGAGGTTAGTTGTGTTACTGGTGCAGGCCTTTGGGCTCTCTATGTAAAAGAAATTAACAAGAGTCCAAACGAGAGTCACTAGCAAGGCTTTGTTGGGGCTTCTGTTGGAACACAAGGGAGGCAGCACAGAGGAAAAACCCTCAAGCTGACTCCCAGGGGGAGTTGGGGAGAGTTTTAAACAGGCTTAGGTGGGACCAGGCGTGGTGGTTCACACCTGTAATCCTAGCACTCTGGGCCAAGACGGGAGGATTGAGGTCAGGAGTTCAAGACCAGCCTGAGCAAGAGCAAGACTCCATCTCTACTTAAAAAAAAAAAAAATAGAAAGAAATTATCTGGACAACTAAAAATATATAGAAAAAACTTAGCCAGGCATGGTGGCGCATGCCTGTAGTCCCAGCTACTCAGGAGGCTGAGGCAGAAGGATCGCTTGAGCCCAGGAGTTTGAGGTTGCTGTGGTTAGGCTGATTGCCATGGACTCACTCTGCAAAAGCAACAGGTGACTTGTCTCAAAAGAAAAAAAAAAAAAAAGAAGAGGTTTAGGCGGAAAGGGTTGCCGTAAAAGAAAAAAAAAAAAAAAAAAAAAAAAAACAAAAAAAAAAGCAAAAAAAAAAAAAAAAAAAAAAAAAAAAAAAAAAAAAAAAAAAAAAAAAAAAAAAAAAAAAAAAAAAAAAAAAAAAAAAAAAAAGAAAAAAAAAAAAAAATGGGTGCGTAAGCAAGCAGAGGTGGACTATTTCGCCTGCGCGCTGTGTGTTCTTTACATGCTGCATGCATGCATTGCATGTCTTGGTCGCAATGTTAATCTCCACCCGGGCTTGATTCAGATTAAACGAGATGTATAATGAGGGAAAAAAACCCCAACCACCAAAAAAAAAAAAAAAAAAAAAAAAAAAAAAAAAAAAAAAAAAAAAAAAACACCAACACCCAACCCCCAACCACCACCACACAAAAAAACCACCCCCACACCAACAAAACACCAACAACCACAACAACAGAGCAAGCACCACAGCGTCCAAAACCACCACGACACACAAGAACGACAAACAGCGCGCCCGAACGCGGCCACCAGCCGCGCCCGCCGGCACCCGCCCGCGCACGCCACCACAACCCCCAAGCAAGCGAGCAGCGCGCCGAACAAAAAACCAAACAACCCCAAAAACAAAGCCCGCCCGGCGCCCGCCGCGCCCACACCACAAAAACACACACAAACCACCCCCACAACAACCACCCAACAAACCCCACCACCAACCAATCCCGCAACAACCCAACCCCACCCCCCCGAACACAGACCAGAAACCAACGCGATCAGCAAATCCGAGGAGCCAGCAAACCACAGCCAAGAACCACAACAGACTGTCAGGTGAGTCAGGTATGAGTCTCTTGTTGCAGTGGTTAGACTGAGTACGGTCTGTTGTTGTGGAGTCTTATCAGCGTGGGTGTCAGCATCGTGCTGGGTGGTCTTGTCCAGTGCTCGAGACGATGTTAGCCCCCTCCTTTTGATGGTATGGTTGAATTCGCAGCCAGGCGTCATTTGTTGTTCTTGCTCTTCACAGTCGGGTAAAGGCTGGTCTCGCAGCGTGCCGCCGTCCCGGTCGCGTACAAGGTGAGGCCCGGTCCTGTCCCTATGCGTGTCTCAGGTCTGCTGGCAGATGTGACTCGCACGACGCGCAACTGCATCACAATACAACTGGTGGCCCATAAACATCGTCACAGAGAAAGAAACATATCACAAGATCGACACTTCAACGACACCAACATCCACACTAAATCAATAGGCATATGGATACGGAAAGACACCAATTCAACATGTACAAGACCACTGTTATCTTCCGTAAACATTCAAATAATCTAAGGTCAAACCGCAAAGCTGAAATGGTCAGTTGAATATGTCAATATTTATGATACCTCTTCGTGTTACATCAGTGGGACACCCATTATACACTCGGCGACACAAATAACATAATATCCACCGTCTGGCAAAAAACACCACTCAATACTTGAGACAACATCGTCACTAGAGAACAGGCGATTTTGAGGATGAAGAAAGAAAATCAGAGTAAATAGGTCAAATAACACGCCATCACTCCCTGACCATTTGAAAATGAAAGCTAAGTATGAAACATTTAATGATTCATATATATCGTCCATATAAAAACAAAAAAAATACATTATTCGAAAAAAACGTCAATAAGCAGTAGATACCAACACTAGGTGGCAGAATAAATAGCGTCATAATACTAACGATCCCTAATAAGAACTAAAGCTCCAATATAAACAACGTTCTAAGAGATATATAAGAAGCATAAAGAACTGGATGACAGAATAAGACACATATCATGTCACACAAAAAGCAAACGGACAACATATTGGAAATATCAACACCATATTCAGAGCTATCACTCAGCAAGTAGGTATTTAAACTGGCAACAGAATAACCCAACACACGGCAAAACTGTGAATCGAACGATAAAGATAAACATGACATAGCTAACCATACTAACCCAAGACACTCCGACAAAACACAATATCCAGGTTCAAACAAGATACTCCAGCACAATATCCAACAAACCTCGACAACTACAACACACATCACACCAAGTCAGATACTCAACTTTTAAGCAAGTACAACAAACGGGACAACACAACGCACAACCTATTCATATAAAAAAAACAACCAACCGGAAACAAACAATAAAAACCAAAAACTAGAAACGAGACATCACACCAAACCAAACATGTAATCTTCAAACACCTCTCACACATAAAATAAACTCTTACCCAAAAAGATAACACACACAGTTCTAACGTGCCACGGCGCGTAAGAAGCTCTTTAGAAGAAAGACATTCTAGTTAATAATGTAAAAGGGATGATAGGGTTAGAATATCACTGTTTGGACCTCCTAAAGCGGTCATGGCTCTTCCAATCGACGGTCACATGGCTAGCATCACAGAAACAAGACACATGCACTTCCTGACAGATGTACATAACCTACCATACCGCCACCTGCGAGCAGAGCAGGAACCTCGTCTACACGCTGAGCTCTAGCTACCAGTTTAACCGGGAGAGGAACATGATAAAGCAGCAGACCCCAACGTTTTTGGCACCAGGGACCAGTTTCATAGAAGACAATTTTTCCACGAACAGGGAAACGGGTGGGAGAAGCTCAGGCGGTGATGCGAGTGATGGGGATCGGCTATAAATACAGATGAAGCTTCGCTCACTCGCCGGCCACACCCTGCTGTGCAGCCCCCACCGACCCCTGGTTCCTAAATTTCATTTTCCGCAGGGGGAGGGGCAGTGCAGGGGGAGGGGTGGTGGAGCTCTGCAGCCAGGTCCTTAAACTGTCGCAGACCGGTACCCAGGGTTGGGACACAGTGATAAAGGACACCAGGGCTGCAGTCAGCAGCATTCACACTGTGGAAAACTACATTATAAACAGCCAGTTCCTGCAACAATAAATAGCAAAG